AGGGCCGACTCATAAGACCCCTCGCTGTCAGAGTCTGGCGGCAGCTCCAATGGCTCTTGCCGGACCACAACACCTCTGTATGTTTTTTACTTCAGGTTTTAGATAACAATGGAAGGTCTGAAAGCTAGGCTTTCCTAATACATGATAAAAACTAGCTCTCAATAAGGAGATCGCTCAATTTCATTAATATTATTTTATTCATCAAAGACAAGATTCCCCAAGATTCTCAGTATCAAACCTGTGCAGAAATGATAAAATCCATAAAATTGAGATGTTCAGAAATTGACTGAAACAGCAGCAGGTTCCTCAAAAGCTAGCCTTCCCTTCAGCTCCCGAGAAGGTTTCAAATATTATTTGTCTTTCTAGGAAGCATCTTGCTGAATGCTTTTTTTTTTTCCAGAAACCCAGCAATTGATTTTTGAAGATAATTCTATCCCACGCTCAAAATTGTCTGCGTCATTGAAAAGGAAAATGTTCAATACCATTCAGTCTCTTGCAATTGTTTTCTTTATTATTTGTGATGGCTCTATTTTGTCTGTCTACTGCCTTCCTTTAAGTCTGTAAAAAAAATAGTTGACTTGATTTTGAGAACTGATTAGTAGCTATAGCTCCGTATCAGATCATTCAGTCGAGTTGGAAATTAGGCAAACCTGTGTCTTTCTCCTAGGGACTGATTTTGTCAGCATCTATGCAAATGTGCTGCTCTGACTGTTTTAACCGGATTGTTTTCACGGCAATCAACAACAACAACAACTGGAAATTGATACAGTCGGTTTTTTTCCCCAATACAACCATTTTGTTTCTTCTGTTCTCCATAATTCACCAGGGCTTTGTCTGAACAATTATAACAGTGATGATAAATTCACTGAAGCAATGGAAACACTTAACTGGAAAGTTGTGAGAGGAACAGATCAACAGGCCGTTCTCATAATCTCCAAAGAATGTAGCAGTTATGGTTATAAGTGTACATGTTATAACCATAACGGTGGCTCATAGACAACATACATCCAAACATTATGACACCAGTTTTCAGTAGCAAATAGCCAAGACCTGTATGCTTTCCTTCTCCTATGAGGAAAAAGTCAAGCCTTCATAGGTTTGTCACTCTCATTTGGAACTCCCCATATCAAATAATAAGAGAGAGAGACTGAGGAAGGAAGGGAAACAGAGAGACAAATGCCTAAGACATGTTTAAAAGTTCTCAACCTACCATAACATTACCTTCTATCAGCCATTGTCCTTCAATCAGACATTTAAAAAATAAATAAAAGCAATCCAANCATTTTTAAAAATTCTATGCACAATACATTTCAAAGTATTGTGCATAGAATTTTTAAAAATGTAAGTCACGGTCATATGTCCACAAGATGCTGCAAATGGCTATAAATATGGGTCAGTTATGGAGTGACTGCAGGGGGAGACATGAGGCATCAGAACTTCGAACCAGGTCGTAGGTACCTTTTGGGAGGGAGGGAGGGGTCTGTCATAACTTTGAACAGTCACTCAGTTACCAGGCATAAGTCGAGGACTACCTGAGCAATCCTGCCTTCCAAATGCCAGGTAGCTCCATCAACAATCCTTTTCC